ATATTTATGGGAGCTATAGCTATATCTGAACCGATTTCGATCAAATTTGGAATACTTATTTTCAGGTCCAATCTGATCGTACGTGCAAAATTCCATACTATTCAGACTGATATTACACGTTTGGTGCACAATAAAAGGCAAATCGGACGAAGATATATATGGGAGCTATATCTAAATTTTTACCGATTATTTCCAATTTCAATTGGGTTCGTCCTTGGGCCAAAAAAAATGTTGTTTGGAAAATTTCATCTCAATCGGATAATAAATGCGACATGCATTTTGTGCACAAGAACACATGGACAGACGGACGGACGGACAGACAGACTGACATGCATAAATCAACTCAGAAAGTGATTCTATGCAGATCATCAAAATGAACCATGGGTCTATCTCGTTTCCTTTTGCCTGTTACAAACAAATGCACAAAGACATAATACCCTGACCACCTTGTTGTGTAGGGTATAAATATTGTGAGGTGTAAAGTTTCAACCTAATCAGATGCTCCATTCTCATTGTAATAATTTTGTAATTTTACCATTTTTGGGTGCACAAAAAGGGGAAGGTATACAATCTGCATAGTTTGGACAATTTCGAATAGTTCCTTATCCTCCAAAATCTCATATCACCCAATTACCTTTATCCAGCCAGTTGTTTTTTTTTTAATAAAAACGCACTTTAATTGGTTTATTCATTGAAATTATTTTTTTTTATTAATTTATTTCTTTTTATAATTAGTTTTATTTTGTATACACGTATAGTATAAGACTTAGTCTAAGCCAATTGAATTAAGGATTCAGCCTAAACTCGACTAGATCGAATAGTTGAACTCTGTGAATGCAATCAAAAAAGCTGATTTAATTCGGACGATCTGTCGAGCTGAAGTTGCAATCCGGTTACGTTTCTTTTTTATTTTTATTTTTCTTTCATTGGAGTAATAAATGCTAATGTCATTTCATTTACACTTACACACAAATGGTTAAATATACATACAGAAACATACATTGTAGGGATTGAAATAAATGTTGTTTTTTTTATTATACACACATTTGTTTAGTGGTGCGGACATTGGTACTTCAAGCATTATGACCGTCTCATATTTTGTTTTTTTTTTTTTTTTGGTTTTTAGTTGTTGTAATTGTTTTTATTTTTACATATTTATATGCGTTACAAATAAGATTTTCTCATAATGCCTAATATTATAAGTAATTCAATATTCTATAGAATATATTTTAAATTATTGTTGTTGTGTATGCTGTTACACATGTATGTATTCATTTATTTATTTATATTTAGATATATTATTTTACATATTAGTAATTAAGTTATTCGATATTTGTATATATGTCATTGTTATTTGGAATGAATTGCAAATAAATAATTAATTTGCTGTCGTGTTTTTGTCAATGGATGTTCAGAAAGATAATCAAATGGAAATTATTTGAAATTAAAATAACGAATTTAAATGTTGGTGAGATTGTATTAAATAACCTAAGGATTTAACAAATAATTTCATTTGACCTATGACACAAATTTGTGTTTCTTTTCCTCAATCAGAGTGTAAATACGAGGGGTGTTAATATTTGTAAATTCTAAATATTCTGAGTTCTCTTTTTATACCCTCCACAATAGTATGGAAGGTATATTAGGTTCGCCATTCCGTTTGTAACACCTCAAAATATGCATTTTAGACCCCACAAAGAGTATATTCTTGATCTTGATTAGCATAAAATTCTATGTCAATTTAGCGATATCCGTTCGTCTGCCTGTCCGTCTGTGGCAATCACTCTAGCTTCCGAACGAATTGAAGTAGGTTGATCAAATTTTACGCAAACGTGTGTTTCGTATGCAGGACTTTTGGTTTCCACCGGATAGGCCCCATCTAACCGTATCTCTCTATATTCGTTATTTTGAGGAGTTAAGCTACATTATATACCGTAACTTTATGAAATTTCGTATTTACAATTCGTAACGGGTACTACAGCCTGTGATGATTGCAGCCACATTATTTACAGCAGTTTTTTTAAAATTTCGTATTTGAAGTTTTCAATGAAAACTTTTATAAAGGAAAGAAATGTCAAATGAAAAATTTTATAGAGAAAATATTTTTCATTTCATATTTTCATAGAACAAGAATCCACTCCCAGGCCTTCGTATAGCCTCTTATAACGGTACCTCGCTATATTCGGCATTGTGTTTTTTTGTTTCAAATTTGGTATTTGAAGTTCCTAATGAGTACTACAGTCTATTACAGAAAATTGTCAATGCAGGTCCAGGTTTTCGAATAGCCCCTAAATATCGGTACCTCCCTATATTCGGTATTTTAATGATTTTAGTTACATTATTCTCTGGAATTTTTTTCAAATTTCGTATTTGCACTTCATAAAGGTTACTACAGCTTTTGACAGAAAGTTGCCTATGCGGGTCCTCATCTTCGTGTAGACCCCAAAATAGATTAAAATTTTAATAGAATTTTTAACGTTTTTTTTTTTTTTTTGAAAATTTCTAAATTTTTTCCAAATGGTGAGGATATTCAAAGATCGGCCTGGCCGAATTTTCTGCTTCATAGTGTCATTTTCAGGGCGACTTCAATACAAATATGGGCACCTCTTAAAATCTTTGTAATAATTACAGATAATGCGTTAAAACATTCAAAACATCTACAATTGGGATGTACTCTCAAACGTTAGGATTATCAAAACCACAAAATGCGGACCTACATCTATAATTTTTGGGAAATGCGATATTAATATTGACTAACATTAGCCTGATTTGTTATTTGAAATGTCAAAATTAAGCTTTTTATTTGGAACAGTAAAGGGCATAAGGGAGCAATACCAAGAGGATTAGATTATATTTGGAAGAAAGTCTTTTTCCAAGACCTACTCAGTTGGAAAATGAGACGGCCAGACTTGCTATTTCCTCCAGGTCTTGGAATCCGGACCGATATTCGAAAAATTTTGGCGAATTCTCATGACCTAAAATCTCAAAATGCCGAAAATTATGAGGTATGAAAATAGTTGACCCGTTTTGAAAATTTTCTATAGGTGGGGTTTATTCTCTGTAAATAAACAAAAAATTACAACTAAATGGGTTAGAAACCTTAAAAATAATGGAAATCGTAAGTGGTCGTTATATGGAAGCTAGGTACAAGTCTAACGTCAAATACTGTAGGCTGTGTGAGGATGAGGAAGAGTATGAAACGATCGAACACATCTAATGCCAGTGTTCTGTTCTATCAAGGGAATGACTACGAGATATGGGGGAAATTTGACTCATGATCTCAGTGTGCATTCACCATGACACGAATCCCTTTGTCATCTATAATTTCTCAAAAGGCATTACTTTCAAAAACTCAACTGTTTTCGATGCTTTTGCTCCATTCTTTATTCTTCTATCTACGAAGTTCTATCACCCTCCATCCTTCTAAACTCTTCCTTTTCTTTTTAACGCAGGAAGCTATATCAACTAATTGTCCGAAACTAAGGATTTTTGTTTGTTTTCTATAAAGAAGTGCTTTTGGTCTTCTGTAAAGAAGAACTTTCGTTCCTCTATAAAGAGGACCTTTCGATCGTCTATGAGGAGACCTCGTGGTCATCTATAAAGAACAATTTTTGGTCTTCTATGAAAAGACTTCTTGGTCTTATATAAAGAAGACCTTATGATCTTCTATATAGAAGACCTATTGGTTTTCTGAAAGAAGTCCTACTGGCGGTCTTCTATGAGAAGACTTGGTGGTCACTGCTGGTCTTTTTTAATTAGAGCTTCTGGCTTCTTTTGGTCTTTTTTGAGAAGACCTCTTTAGGCTTTATTATAGAAGACCTCTTGGACTTCAATTATAGAACACTAGAAGATCTTCGTATAACCGTGCAACGTAGTTCCTTTTTTTTTTGTTAAAGCCACCGTATAAAGGGACCTCATGCAAATTACACCTGATTTGGTTGGAAATAAATTAGGACCAAAACCGTGGATTTCCGAAAATCAGGAGCTATTGTTCTATGGCTTCTATACATAAAAGCGGACCAATTTACAATATTTTTTGCAAGAACTTAAGCCACCTGAGAATTCAAAATCTTAGATAACAGTTGATTTGATTTGAAATTATTGCCGAAGTCTTAAAAATACCGAAAATTTTGGTTTTTATTGCAACTCCTCACAAGAATTCACAATGAGGAATCACATTTTGGTATGAACCCTATAGAAGTTCATACCAAAATGTGATTCCTCATTGTGAATTCTTGTGAGGAGTTGCAATAAAAACCAAAAATTTCAAATTACTGCTGATTTGATTGAAACTTAAGACAAACACTTTCGAAATAACGAAAATCAGGGGTACTGTCATAACTGGGCTATAAATAAATGTGGACTGATGTAGGGTATTCTCAATACTAATAATTTAAGAAAATTTTTTACTCTAGATACGGACGGCCGGATATCGCTAAATCTATTTAGAATTTAATACAAATTAAGAATATATCTCGAGGCGTTGCAGTCGAATATAAAACATTAAAAAACCTCAATCTCAGGGCGCAGGGTACAATAATATTGTTAATCTCAAATACATTAGAGCAATATTCCAATCACTTACATCCTTTCATGTGGAAAATAAGTTAAAAAAAACAAGTTCGGCCCGGCCATACCTTCCAACATGAGTTGAAGAAACTGTGGCTAGAATCATAAAAAATGTTAACATTTGCGGGTAACGATATATGGGGCTATAGGAAACCGTGGACCAATATGGACAATGTTCTGACACAGGCGATTGAACATATTATGAACTACAAATGCCAAATATTAAATAATTGTGATAGAAAATATGGCTTAAATCAACAAAATACAGAATATCTTAAGGTACCGTTATAATTTGAAACAATCTGATGAAACAATTTTGGCAAAAATGATCTAAATGCCGAACATAGAGGGGTACCGTTATATGGGCACTATATTGAAATGTAGGCAATGTATTGGAACTAGAACAATATCCTGCCACAGCAGGTAGAACTCTATACTACCTCTTAATATCGAATATATAACAATTCCGTAAACATGTGTTAAAAATCGATACCGTATTTTTAGAGAAATCCTGTAGAAAATGAGGCTTAAATCATCAAAATAGTAAAACGATGATCTTAATAGGCAATGTTCTTCGACCGGGGTTGAAAGTCAATAAAAACTCTAAATACCGAATTCGGATCAATTCCATAAAAAAGTGGACAAAATCATCAAAATATCGAATATCGTGAGGTGACGTTATATGGAGGCTATACAAGAAACGTGTTCTGATATACGATAGTTTTAATTAATTACCATCCTAGACACAATGAAAGCTATGTTGTCAAATTTTGAAGCTCTACATTAAATAATATTGTTTTCAACAGACAGACAGACCAACAGCTGAAAGACTTTAGAATTTAATGCTGATCGTAAATGTATATACAGGGTGAGATGAAAAAACCGCAACCAATTTTAGACTGCTGTCATTTCTAAGCCACTCGTCCGATAGCTGTTAAAATTATTCCAGTGACAGCTTATTATATTGTTTACAAGCGTACAAAATCATATTTTATTTATTCGTGATGGGATTCGATCGTGATAATGTGATTTCTGTAATTCTGGCTGGAAAACCGCAAGTGGCTATCGTTAGAGCACCCCAGCATTTAAATGTGAATAAATTTTTTGTGTCTTGTACCGTGATACTGGTAGCGTATCCCGACGTTAAGGAAGTGGTCGGCAGAAAATAACAACATCAGCAGAAATGGTTTGAAAAGTAAAGAAGAGACTTGATCGAAACTCGCGTCGCAGTGCTCGAAAAATTTCTCGAGAGCTGAAGGTATCGCAAAATTCCATTCGGCAAATATCGGAAAATTAGCTCGGGGTAAAGCCATTGAAATTTCAAAAAGTGCAAGAACTTACACCGCAACAGAAAGAAAATAGACTCAAAAGAGCAAAAGAGTTGCTTCGCTTGGCGGAAAGTGGTGAACTGCCGAATTTAGTTTTCTCCGATGAAAAAACATTCGATGTCCAGCAGATTGTAAACAAGTAAAATGATCGTGTTTAATTGCCAAAGAGGTCAGCTGAAAATGTGCACTTTCGGTTGGCAACCAGAACTCAAGCGCCGGCCCTGGTGATGGTGTGGGCCGCCATAACAGCCGATGGTCGCTCTTCGCTCGTATTAATCAGAATCAGAATAAATGCCGAATATTATCGCGAAAATATTCAGGAGGGTGTATTTAAGCCTTGGGCATGCAAACACTTTGGCCGCAGGATGGTTACAAAATGAGGATCCGTTGGACTATTTAGTCTGGAGTATTTTGGAAAGCAAGGTTGGCACTATCAAAATGTCGATCACCTCAAGCAAGCGCTTCGCCGAGAACGGGCCAAAATACCGCAGAGCAACATTCGGGCAGCGTGTGACGGTTGCATTGGCCGTTTGAAGGCCATAATTCGTGCCAAAGGTGACCAATTCGAACACATCTAAACTTATTCTAAAATTTGATGCTATTTCTGACATTTTTTGCTTTCATTCAATAAAATTATAAAAAAGTAATAATTATGGCATTTGACTTTTTTGCAGTTTTTTTTTATCTCACCCTGTACTTTATGGGTGTCTTCGACGATTATTTCGAAGTATTACAAACGAAATGACAAATTTCCTTTCCATGGTATAAAAGCTCATGTACTTTGTCACCATTATCTATTTTTTGTTGGAGGATACCAACACCGGCAATATAGCGACACTCCGTATCCACTCCGCTCTGATCGAAGGTAAAATAATTGCAACAAATGAAGTGGTGGGTTGTAAAATTAATACTAATTATTTAGCAACAACAACAACGTAAAATTTACTGTGTAGTTGGCCTGTGTATACATTGAGTTATTTATGCATTCATTCATTTATTCATTCTATATTATTATAATTATTGTTGTATGATTTAATTATTTGTATAAATATTACCTATATTAGAACAACAAACAAATATGTATTATGTATTTTTGCCTCGCCTTATGTATATGTGTGTGTGTAACGGCAACCTAATTTACAACAATATGCAACCGAAAGTACAGTCAAAGCCGGAAGCCATAACGAACGGGAAATCATGTCGGAAACAAAAGCGTAAAATTAGATTTTCAAATTCAAACTACACTCACAGCATCGTTGCGCCCGCTCTGTAATCAGGCTTATGGATTAGCAAAATTTAATTAGAAATACCTAAAATACGATAGCAGGTGGTGGTCTCCGGCGAAACTCCTACATGAGTTCAGATGAATGCCTATCTCACATATTGACTCCATGCAACGCCTTAATAATATGTGGTCACAGCACTTGTGACAGACATGCAGATTCTTCTGGCTATCAGAGGTGGCTTTAACTCTAAAGACAGTGTGTAGACGGGATGCAACTGAGTTTTGATGTTGCATAATAATTTCACTTGAATCCTCACCTGCAGGGGTGGCCAGTCTCTGGATTTTGCCATTATGTTGCCTGACATTATTGCTGCTCTTTACGGAATCAAGAGTCAGAAGATGTAGCTTATTGTCATTGCTGCTGCTGCTGCTGTTGTTGAGCTGCAGTGAACTGCCACTGTTGCATAAACTATTGGAGTCACTACATTTGTTGTGACTCCTGTGACCCTTGTCGCAATGGTTTCTACGTATTTGAAAAGCCCTCATCGGTTTCTGTTGCATGCACGAGTGTCCACAGCTATGCTCGCTCCCAGCCACCAACTCAACGGATAAATTATCCGTGTGTGCATTATTGTGGTTAGCATTGTTGTAGTGATTGACATTGTCGGCCGTTTTTGCTCTCTGTAATTTAGATTTCTCTGTGTTTATGAATCGCCTGAAATTCAAGTGCTCCTGACATTCCTGCTGACATGTAATTATTAGGCGAGTCATTGCCTGTAAAAGATTTAGTACAAGTCGCAAATTTATTAGGGCAACAGTGCAGATAATTGCGGAGAGAATAATTCCGTTTAGATGCTTTAGCTGTCCTGCATTCGAACGCAGTGCACTTTGTTCCTTTTCCAAACATTGGCGAAATTCTTTGTAATCGACACGTGTAATGGCACAATAGTGATTCAGCATACACATATTATCGCATGGATCGGTTTGATAGCGTACCGAGTTGGCTCGATAGTATCTGAAAAGAGAGGGGATACAAAAAAATAGTATTTTATTAGCAGTTGAAGAATAATTAGAACTTAAGAATCATTAAGGAGAAATGAACAAAGAAAATAAAATTGTGAACAAGCTTATAAAAAAAGAGTTTTAGTTTTTATATTTTAATAAAATTAATAATTTTTTTTTTCAAAATTTTTAAAGTCGCATTAATAAATATTTTTTGAATTGCGGCCTAGCTCGATATTTTCTAAAGTGAGTGGCTCATCCCAGCAAAAATTCAGAGGTTAAATGACCCGAGTAACCCATTTTACGGCAAGTTAAAAAAAATATCACTACTACCAGTGGATTGAAAACAAGTAAAAAAACATTAAGTTCGGCCTGGCCAAACTTTTAATACCCTCCACCTTAGGGTAAAAGAAACATTAGAAGAAATGTGGCAAAAACCATTAAAATGCCGAATATCGGGAGGTACCGTTATATGGGGGCTACACCAAAACGTGGACCTATAATTACAATGTTTCGCCACACGAACTAGGACCCATTATGACCCACAAATAGACAAATCAGTGAAAAAATGTGGCAAAAATCATCAAATTACCGAATATCGGGAGGTACCGTTATATGGGGGCTATACCAAAACGTGGACCTATAATTACAATGTTTCGCCACACGAACTAGGACCTATTATGACCCACAAATACCAATTTTTAGACAAATCAGTGAAAAAATGTGGCAAAAACCATCAAAATACCGAATATCGGGAGGTACCGTTATATGGGGGCTATACCAAATCATTGACCCATACATGCAATGTTTCGCCACCAGTGCTGGAACCCATTATGACCAACAAATACCAATTTTCAGACAAATCCGTGAAAAAAGGTTGCAAAAATCATCAAATTACCGAATATCGGGAGGTACCGTTATATGGGGGCTATATCAAATCAGGTGGCAATATTTCGCCACCGAAGCTGGAACCCATTATGACCAACAAATACCAATTTTCAGACAAATCCGTGAAAAAATGTGGCAAAAATCATCAAATTACCGAATATCGGGAGGTACCGTTATATGGGGGCTATACCAAAACGTGGACCTATAATTACAATGTTTCGCCACACGAACTAGGACCCATTATGACCCACAAATACCAATTTTTAGACAAATCAGTGAAAAAATGTGGCAAAAACCATCAAAATACCGAATATCGGGAGGTACCGTTATATGGGGGCTATACCAAATCATTGACCCATACATGCAATGTTTCGCCACCAGTGCTGGAACCCATTATGACCAACAAATACCAATTTTCAGACAAATCCGTGAAAAAAGGTTGCAAAAATCATCAAATTACCGAATATCGGGAGGTACCGTTATATGGGGGCTATACCAAATCATGGACCCATACATGCACTTAAAGACCTAATCAGATTGCTTCAAAACTGAATTCGGTCGGATGTGCCAAAATCCAGGTCATATTGAGTGATATTGGCCATTTGGTGCACAAAAAAAAACCCGAAATCGGTTGAAGATATATATTGGAGCTATATCCAAATCTGAGCCGATTTTTATAAAATTTGTCACAGGTATTTCTGGAGGTTATCTGATATTTGGTACCAAATGTCATTCTTGTGGAGTGTATATTACGAATTTGAGGGACGTAAAAACGTAGTGATATTGGTCATTTGGTGCACAATTAACCCGAAATCGGTTGAAGATATATATGGGAGCTATATCCAAATTTGAACCGCTTCTCACCAATCTCAATTGGGTTCGTCCTTGGACCAAACAAATATTGTTTGGAAAATTTCATCTCAATGGGATAATAAATGCGACCAGCAATTTTCTTCACAAAAATACATGGACAGACGGACGGACAGACGGACTTATATACATAAATCGACTCAGAAAGCGATTCTATGAAAATCTAACAAACATACAATGGACATAATACCCTTACTACTATATGGTGTAGGGTATAAATATTGGCATATGCAAAATTACAAAAACATCGAACAAATTTTATCCAATCTTCTGCAAAATTATAAATTCTATATTCAACTCAAGTTTCTTGTTGAGAGGAATATTTAGATATAGTAAGATGTAAAGTAACGCTCACTTGTTTCGCAAGTCATGACATATAAAAGTATTGAAAATTGGGAATCTTTGTGGGTGAGGTACTAGAAGGGTTTCGTAAATATATAGCATCTTCACAGTAGATCTTGTGTGAGCAAAAATGCTTGTAGAGTGAGTGAAGAGAGTTGGATGCTAAATTCAGTTTCTTTGAACTTTGTTTTTTTTTTTTTTTTTAATCTTAAAGCCAATGTGGGGGAGTTACCAGAAGAAATGGGCCAATCTCCACCATCTTTATAATAGATCCTCTGTAGGTGGAATATTGAGATGCACCATGTCTGAATGGAATCGCATGTTAATTTCACGTTTATGAGCTTCATGGATACCCAAAATGTCGACCCTATATGGGGGAGGTACCGGATGGAGTGGACCGATATATCTATCTTCACAGCACATTTTTTGTTAGTAGAAGTAATGGGATGTGTGTAATATGAAGAGAACCGCATGCTTATTTTGGATTTTATAATCGTTTTGATTATCCAAAACTTTGACCGTTTGTGGGAGAGGTACCCAAAACAATGGACCGATACATTCCATCTTCATACCAAACCTAGGTTGATAAAAATATTGTGATGTGTGTAATATGGAGACTCTTACATCAATTTATAAGAATTATTATTCAAAATTGCGAACCATTGTGGGGGAGGTACTTGATGGAGTGAACCGATATTACCCATCGCCAAACTCGATCTAAGTTTGATAATAATATAAAGATGACTTGTTAATGACTAGATTTAAGACTTGAAACAACCCTAAATGTTCGTACCCGTGGCTCACACATACCGTACATATCAACAAATTAGAGGGTTACGGGTCAATAACAGCATCGGGCAAAGTAAAACCGAGGATTTTGGTGAAATGATACATCTATATATATAAAAGATTTATGTTTGGTTATTGATTTTCCTGCAAATTTTCAAATATACGACAGAATCGCCTGAGAATAACAAAGCTTATACAACTTTTTAAAATTCCACTAGGAACAGGAAACATAAAGTAGTCATGTATAGAAGTTGCACGGCCCTATGGGCTAGGTAACTGTGTTAATTGAATATAAATAAAATAAAATAAACCAGTAAAGAAAATCCTAAAGTCGGGCGGGGCCGATTTTATGATACCCTACACCACTTTGCTAATTTAGTTGAGCTCCACTTAATAATTAAAAGTTTTTATGGGAGAATTCAATCATACACCCTATGATTATAATTATAATTTAAAATTCAAAGGATTAAATATGCCGAAGCATTTGTATCTTTTAAATTCGGACTTGTATTGCCCATTTGGTGCGAAATTAATTTGAAATCGGATAAAAATATATATGGGAACTATATCGAAATCTGAACCGATCTCGATAAAATTTGGCAAAGATATTTATGAGCTGCATTTGATATATTTCCCTGCATATCGTTGTTACGGAGTGCATATTACGGCTGTGGGTAACAAATTCAATAAATCGGATGAACAATATATATGGGAGCTATAACTATATCTGAACCGATCTTCACCAAATTTGGCATACTACCTTCTAGACCGGTCGTATGTGCCACATTCCATCCCATTTGGACAAATATTAGACGTTTGGTGCACAATAAGTGGTAAATCGGACGAAGTTATATATGGGAGCTATATCCAAATCTGAACCGATCTCGATAAAATTTAGCAAATGTATTTCTGAGCTGCATTTGATATATTTCCCCAAATATTGTTGTTACAGAGTACATATTACGGCTGCGGAGGACAAAAATAACAAAATATGGGAGCTATAGCTATATCTGAACCGATTGCGATCAAATTTGGCATACTTATTTTCAGGTTATATGTGCAAAATTCCATACTATTCAGGCTGATATTACACGTTTGGTGCACAATAAAAGGCAAATCGGACGAAGATATATATGGGAGCTACATCTAAATTTTTACCGATTATCTCCAATTTCAATAGGGCCAAACAAATGTTGTTTGCAAAATTTCATCTTAATCGGGTAATAAATGCGACCTGCATTTTGTTCACAAGAATACATGAACAGACGGACGGACGGACGGACTGACATGCATAAATCAACTCAGAAAGTGATTCTATGCGGATCATCAAAAGGAACTATGGGTCTATCTCGTTTCCTTTTGCCTGTTACAAACAAATGCACAAAGACATAATAACCTGACCACCTTGTGGTGTAGGGTATAAAAACCGTAAGTAAGGCTCAAAAGTGAAAGTCGGGCGGGGCCGACTATATGATACCCTACACCACAATGCATATTTAATAGAACTCTCATAAAAGAATGGTTTATATTGCAATTTCTGAGCTCTATGACAAATCTGGTAAAAAATATCATTATGGTAGAGTGCATATTCCGAAAGTTGGAGATTTAAAAAGCAAATCGGATGAAACATATATATGGGAGCAAATTTGAAATTCTTCCTTATATGCTAAACTCTGTTGAATTTCGAAAATTCACTCCATTTGGGCTAATATTAGCTATTTGGTGCACAATAAACCTGAAATGATATATATGGAGGCTATATCCAAATCTGAGCCGATCTTCATTAAACAGCTATTTCATGGCTGTATCTGATATCTGGTAGCAAATATTATTCTTGTATCGTGCACCAAATTTGAAGTACATATTTCTATACTAAATTCGTTCTGAAGTGCCAAAATTCACACCATTCGGACTGATATTAGCCATTTGGTGTACAAGAAACATAAAATCGGATGAAGATATATATTGGAGCTATATCAAAATCGCAACCGATCTTGATAAAATCATGAATTGCTAGGCTGTATCGGATATCTGGTGCAAAATATCAGTCTCGTGGAGTGCATATTACGAATGTGAGGGATTTAAACACCAAATTGGATAAAACATATATATGGGAGCTATTGCTATATCTTAACCAAATTTTAAGCACATGCTGAATTCGGTCAGATGTAGCAAAATTCACACCATTTGGACTGATATTAGCCTTTTGGTGCAGAAGAAACCTAAAATCGGATGAAGATATATATGGGAACTATAGCTATATCTCAACCGATTTTCACCAAATTTGAAGCACATGCTTGTAGGCTGAATTCGGTCAGATGTAGCAAAATTTCGATTTGATTTCGATTGATGAAGATATATATGGATAAAGATAAATTTGGACCGATTTTCTCCAATTTCAATAGGGTTCGTCCTTGAGCCAAACAAATGTTATTTATAAAATTTCATCTCAATCGAATAATAAATGCGACCTGCATTTTGTTTACAAAAATAAATGGACAGACGAACGGACGAACGGACATGCATAAATCGACTCAAAATGTGATTCTATGCTGATCACCAAAAGGAACTATGAGTCTATCTCGTTTTCTTCTCCATGTTACAAACAAATGCACAAAGACATAATACCCTTACCATTATGTAGTGTAGGGTATAAATATAGCATCAGAACAGGAGGTACCTCCAACAAATTTACATTTTGTATGCACATATCTATTGATCGGGTCCAGATAAAATCTTCAAATTTGGAATGTGTCAGTCTAAACATAAATTAGATCGAATTTTATTGAAATCGGTTGAGGTTTGGATATAGCTTTTATATAAATTTTTGGAAGATTTCTTGTATTTGATGCACCAAAAACGACATGTTTGTCTGATTCCAATGAAATTTGGAATAAGTGACGGAATTTTGTGTAAAAAAAAATTTGTTGAATTTTATTGAAATCTTCTGAGGTTTGGATATAGCTTCCATATAAATGTTCGTCCGATTTCGTGTATTTGATGCACGTTTTTTTTTATCGCAAATTACATTGAAATTTAAAATGTGCAACTGAATCAGAAGAAAGATTTTTTTCCTTTCCTAGAACCGTAGCCTTTCATTCTGGCGAAGGTATAGGCGACGATAGGTCTGATCACCCGCCGGTGGAGCACGTAGTCTATACGATGAATGCAGTCGAACCTCTCCTGAAATACTACCCCTAAGCATCCCAACTTATCCGAGCTGCTCCGAGCCTATCTTCGGACTCGGCCGTAGCACAACATCCAACGAAATATCGATGTAGGGCATCGAGATCCTCGTTAGCACGCCTATTGACCGGAAAAGGCTAATAGGACATAATAGACATAGGTCAGAAGGAAACCGCCAGAGGGAGAAGCCGGAATGTCGCAGGAAAAGGTTTTGAATAATATCGGACCAAGGAGGGAATCCAACAGCGAGCGATCTCTCATCCTCAAGTTTCGACAGTATCCGAAATACTGCCCTTTGGCCCTAGAGAGCACGTAGTCTATACGATGAATGCTGTCGAACCTATCTTATAATACTACCCCTAGGCATCCCAACTTATCCGAGATAAGAGCCTGCTCCGAGTCTATCTTCAGAACCGACCATAGCACAACATCGCGCCATCAAACGAAGTAGAGGGCATCGAGGTCCTCGTTACCGCACCTATTGATCGAACTAGCAGGGGTACCGAAAAAGGCTAATAGGATATCATCAGCATAGGTCAGAAGGAAACTGCCATAGGGAGGAGCTGGGATGCCGCATGAAAAGATACTGTATAATATCGGACGAAGGAGGGAACCCAGCAGCTGGCGGCGGTTAGATAGTCGCCAACTCTCTTTAATCCTTAGAAATCGATCTCTAAAACAACTAGCGATCATTCTAAAGGATTAACTGTCAAAGTCAAGCTATTGGAGTTTATATAAAATTCCATTGTGCCAGAAAGAGCCAGGAGCCCTGATAATATCTAGGGGAACGACTATAGAGCCTGTGTGTCAGACATTCCCATTATTATTGGAATCAAATTAGATACATAAAAAGTATGTACAACAGTATAAACAGATTTTAAGCATATATTTTATTTAGGTAATTAACATTTTGATATAACTTCATAATAATATGATATATAAGGTACTTTTTAATTATTATTATTATTTTGTTTTAAACAAACGACCCTCAAATGTCAATAAACTAAAGACAATAACTCTTCAGCTCTTCCGTAGTGCAACGCTTGCGACAGCATTCATCATAAACGCCAGTTCGGTGTCGTTGTCGACGAATTTTAGCCAAATCATTCATATGTTCGCCATACAGTATATATCTCAACAAAGAATTGGATGCATGGGGAGTTTCGTCATCAAGCCCATCAAGCATATTTAAAATGCCAAACTGTTGAGTCACTGTGTCCAAATGGAATTAATTATTAATTTTTAAATTCATTTCAAATTCTCATTTCAGCCGTAAGTAGCTTACATGGTTTACTAATTGACTTTTTGCTAAGTTGCATTCCATTAAAGCCATCTTCACACACCGCATCCAACAATTCAGCCAGTCCAGGACCACACACACGTATGCTACCGGTCTTTATTTCATGGACAAAGACGAGGAATAAAATTAAACTAAAAATTTTCATATTTATTTATTTATTTTTTTGAAAATAATTCAGACTAGCTGAGTTGTTTATTGTTGAGAATATTTTTAGGTACTGTCGTATGAGGAGTGAGATATTTATTATTTATAGTAAACGTTTGATTCTAAAAACATGGAATACCTTTGCGCTAATCATCAAGGTTAAAAAATAATATGCAAATTATCATTCCCACATATTTATGGGATTCCATTCAAAATGTGCATGTCCTTAAAGAAATAATTATATGCAAAAATAAAAAAAAAAAGTAAAACAGTAAAGAAAAGTCAAAAGTCGGGCGGGGCCAAAAATCATTGTTGTCGATTGCATATCACGAATGTGAGGGACTTAAACACCAAATCAAATGAAACACATGTATGGGAGATATAGCTATATCTCAACCAATTTATACCAAATTTTAAGTACTGATTTATAGGATGAATTCAGTCGTAACTGCCAAAATTCACTTCACTTGGGCTGATATTGGAGATTTGGTGCACAATTAACTCGATATCGGTTGAGGGTATATATGGGAGCTATATTCATACCTTAACAAGATTTGATACACTTATTTCGGAGCTGTATCTGATATTTGGTACCAAAGATTATTGTTGTGCAATACATATTAGACTTGTGAGGGACTTTAAACCTCAAATCGGATAAAACATAGCTATTTACACCAAATTTGAGGTACTGGTTTATAGGATGAATTCAGTCGTAATTGCCAAAATACAGTTAATTTGGGCTAATATTAGCCATTTGGTGCACAATAAATCTGATATCGAATAAATATATATATGGGAGCTATATCCTAATCTGAACCGATCTCGATAAAATATTGGTTCGTTCTTGGGCCAAGCAAATATTGTTTGCAAAATTTCGTCTCAATCGGATAATAAATGCGACCTACATGTTGTTAACAAGAATACATGGCAAACGGACGGACTGATATGCATAAATCGACTCAGAAAGTGATTCTATGAATATCCTCAAAGCTATGTGTCAATCTCGCTTTCTTCTTCATGTTACAAACAAATGCACAAAGACATAATACCCTTACCACTATGTAGTGTAGGGTAAAAGAAGAAAGATAAGGATCGAATCGGAGCGACTGTAACGATAATATGTTGCCATGATTTTTCGAGGACGGACGTCTTTAAATAGGTAATCTGCACACTTTGAAAAATCTGCAAATCTTAGGAAATAAATAAAAAAGAAGGTAAAAGTGTAATAAAAATATGATGAACTACATACAATCTTCGTCGATGGGCTATATATGTCCTTATCTGTATCTGTAGGTAAAATACAGGGTGGGATAAAAAAATACGAGAAAGTCAACTGCCATACAGTTTTTTTTTTTTAATTTTATTAAATGAAAGCAAAAGGTTTCAAAAATAGCATCAATTCTTAGAATAAGTTTAGATTTGTTCGAATTGGTCACCTTTGGCACTAATTATGGCCTTCAAACGGCCAATGAAACCGTCACACGTTGCCCGAATGTTGCTCTGCGGTATTTTGGCCCATTCCCGGCGAAGCGTTTGCTTGAGGTGATCGACACTTTGGTGTTTTTAAGTGCCAACCTTTCTTTCAAAAATACTCCAGACGCAATAGTCCAACGCATTGGTATCCGGAGATTTTGGTGGCCACTGTGCGCTGGAAATGAAGCGAGGAACCTCATTTTGTAACCATTCTTGGGTGGCGCGTGCTGAGTGCGATGGTGCTGAGTCCTGTTGGAATGTCCAAGGTCTACGGTCAAAATGTTTGCGTGCCCAAGGCTTTAATACACCCTCCAGAATATTTTCGCGATAATATTCGACATTTATTCTGATGCCACGGTCGATTGATGCGAGTGGAGAGCTACCATCGACTGTTATGGCGGCCCATACAATTACAATGGCCGGCGCTTGAGTTCTGGTGGCCAACCCAAGGTGCACATTTTCAGCTGACCTCTTTGGCAAGTAAACACGAGCATTTTGTTTATTTACAAGCTGCTGCACAACGAATGTTTTCCCAACGGAGAAAACAAAATTCAGCAGTTCACCTTTAGCTTTTGAGTCTATTTTCTTCCTGTTGCCGTGTAAGTTCTTATACTTTTTGGAATTTCAATGGCTTTACCCCGACATCATTTTTCAACATTTACCGAATGGAATATTGCGACGCAGGTTTCGATCAATGGCTTCTTTACTTTTCGAACCATTTCTGCTGATGTTGCTGTTTTATTCCGCCCACTTCCTTGACATGAAAACTGCAACCAACTTCAGCCTACTATCATTTCTACGTCACTCGTCAGACAGCTGTTAAAATTATTCCAGTGACAGCTCATTATATTGTTAACAAGCGTAAAAAAGCATTTTGCTGAGAATTTCCAAGAAAAAAGTTATTCGTGATGGAATTCAAACGTGATAGTGTGATTTCTTTATATTTGGTTGGAAAACCACAAGTGGCTATCGTTAGAGCACTCCAGCATTTAAATGTGAGTAAATCGTTTGTGTCTCGTACCATCGCTCGTTACCGTGATACTGGTAGCGTACCCCGACGGACACCCCTAAAATGACTCGAAATGTCCTGAAACGGGTTTGGTCCAAAGAGACGTAGGGTCTAAACCGTTATTTTGATAATGCACGTGTTTGCCGTAACAAATGATATATACCCTCTGTAGCCATAAGGCTGAGGGTAGAAAAATTGGGAATTCTCGCAGTGTTAGATACGTTACATTTCGGGTAAAGAAAAGAAAAGAAAAAAAGGTAAAGAAAAGAGTAGATCTTTATCTTTAAACAATTGCATTTGCTATTATAAATCTGAAGACAATGATAACTCCCACATGCCACATGTATATATTTTCAAATTTAAACAAGTAAGCAAAGGCTATAGTAGTGCGGGCCGACCATGTGATACCCTACAACACTACCATATGTGAGAAGCCCCCTCATGCCCAAATCCATTTTGGAAGATTTCGCTTTTGAAATTATGTCACGGAGCACTGTCCAGATATTACCCTTAGCATTTTGACCAGGGACATCTGCCCAATATTTACGCACTCCGTCGAGCTGTTAGTTGTTGTGGTCTATTTTACAGCTAAATATAATCCAATGGTCGTCCAAAATGCTAGAATTCTTCCCTGTCCTTAACTCCCTTCTCAGGCGTGTCGATTGGCTTCAATTGTGTGATCGGAAAAACATTTCTATTTTTGGTTATATCGTCAACGAAATCAGCATAAAAAAGCCAGAATTTCGCCTATTGTGTATTTCGGATATCGCCTGTAAGTAATGTTGGTATTTTTTCACATAAAAGTAGTAGTCCATTCTACCCGCTGTCTAAAATTCATGCAAGATTTCGTGTCCTTTGGTTCTATTTGTGACCTTTATAACGGCTGCAAAATCAGGAACATTTTGAGCTGGTCCATTTCAACCCCTAAATATACTGCGAACATCTTTGAAAACAATAGGTTTAGTCCTTCTGAGCCTAACCCTTCCTTTGTCAAAAATTTCGTGAGGATCAAACGATAATTGCAATCTGTATTTCTAGCTAACATCCCCTTCCTTTGTATATAAACATTTTATATATTTCGCTATATATATCCGATATTTTTACTATCGGCATCTACGTAACGGTCAGAATTGACCTGTTCGCTATTTGTGATTTCGCCGGCATTAAAAATATTCGCGGTTTAATGGAAAATTTGACTTTTATTTATCACAAATGCTATGGTCTGTTTCTACCACTAAATATTACCCTATGACCATCAGAATTGGAAGGCTTCTGCCCAGTCCAAAGCTCTAGCCCCATGCTAACTAATAATACCCCCCATAATGTGACCCTTTTCAAAGAATCAAACCAGTTTCTCACAATACTAAATGGATATTTGTTGCAACAAAATTTTGACAGTCAGTATAAGATTTTGTACCGAAAATGAGTTTAGATAAACTTATATAGCCCTTGTTTAAAAAAATCAATTGGTGTGACTTAATGACATACTTTATTATCATTTTCACGCAATCATATGTACATAACACAAACTCACACACACACATACAGGTATTAATATACTCAATTTACTTGTGGTAAATAAAGTACGAGTGACTTTATTGAGTGGTCGTGACATTTTTATACATGCAAATCCCACCGTCTAAATTATAAAAAAAAAAAAAAAAACGGCAATGTGTCAAAGTAACACGAAATTGCGGTTAATTTAATTGTTGGATGCACATTGGGTGATTCAGATATAAAATGCAATGCAGTTGGTGAAAGTTTTTGGAAAAAAAAAAAACTATAAATGATCGACACTATGTACAAATGTTACTGGTTTTAAATAATATAAACTTTTTATACAGTCAGGAGGATCCAATATAATTAAGTATAAATCCTTCAGGCTTATTGTAAATCCACTTTAAAATTTCATTCCGCATGTTTGCCTCTTTGTCGCACCCTTCCATACAAATGGAACCACTGTGCGGTTGATATTTTTTTTCTTAACTGTATACAACTATGTACTTGTGTGCATACGGAGACAATTAATGTCAATATTATTTTGCGGACACACAATATAGACAGACATCCAGTTCAACAAGTGTCACGCTTATGAAATTTACACATTGTTGATAATGATGGCAGCGTGTTAGTTTATGTGTATGGCAAATGTCAGGTAGGTAACGTTTTCACAGCTTGCATTCACACACACATATATGCACCTGATATTTCATTATTTGATGAGATATGGCATGTAAAGTAGAAATTACCAATAACAGATTAATATTTTAAGTAAAAATTATTTATCCTACCGACCTTCCACAAAAGATCAAAGTTTTAAATAATATTAACTTCATTGGAAAACAAATGTACAATTTTCCAAAAAAAAAGTTCACATTCATATAAAATGGTGCTAGTGTAAAATTGGAATACATCGATTCACTCCTTTTGGTACAAAGAGATAGGTATCAGAAGATGTTGACTAATATTCTCAATATTTATGATACCCTCCACTTTAGTATGGAAGGTATATTAAGTGTGTCATTCCGTTTGTAACACCTCGAAATATACACTTTAGATGCCACAGAGTCTTGATTAGTA